GTAAACATCCTTCAGAAAAGCTGCACCAATACTGGGGGGAAATGGGCATTTTTTGACTGAGAAAGAAGCAAAACAACTTGTTGCTCTCTTTGTAGAGGACAGGCATTGAGCAGATGCATTTTTCTCATTGTAGAAAATGGTGGCATTTCCCCTTTCATCTCTGTAAAATTAGTGTTAGTAGGAACATGCTTAAATCCAGAAGTGGACATAAGGTCCATCGTTTACTTGACTGGAGGTGAATGTGAGAACATGTCCAGAAGTTTGAGTTTTGCAATTTGGGTGTTCCCTTCTCTGTTACAGGTGAACAACCAGCACCTCTCGATTTCGTTTCCTACAGGGAGCATAAGAAACTCGGTGGCAGAGGGTTGGAAGAAAATGATCTTTGAGGTTCCTTCCAACTCTGAAATTTTATGATTCTATGAATTTCTAGAACAAGAAATAATCTGGTTTTACTCCAAGGTACTGATGAAGGGAAGTTCCACCAGGATATTGCTGTATGTTGGGAGCAGTGGGAGCTATTGGGGCCTCAGCTGGGACATTGCCTTTTAATCTCCAACCACGTCTGCCTCCACTCCAGCAACACCAACACCCGTAAACCTTCTCGAGGATCATGTGGAGTTCTAAAACAGAACAAAAACATGCTTTGGGTTTCTTGGCCGCCTGGGCTGAAGGACACCTGCTCGGAGGCAGCAGGAGGTTCACAGCAGAGGGTCTGTTTTGGTGCCGTGTTTGTGTTTTTTCCAGAGGTGTGCACATGGCCTGGTCACTAGCAGCCTTTGTGCAGCCCTGTTAGCACAAGCAGTGGGAAAATTGACAGGAATCATGAGGAATGGAGAATTTTCTCAGTTGTGATGCAGGTTTTTTGAGGCACTTGCAGTCTGACTTGAGTCATGGGACTGAAAGGGATTTCTCCAGGTCACCAAGCCCTGGATATTGCTGTCACGGGCAGTCCCGTCCTTCTGTCCCTTAATTTGTTCGTCTTGTGCTTAAAACTATTTGGATTGTTGTTTAGCTCCACTGTTTACTTTCTGTGACTTCTTCCCTTTGATCTCCTTTCTTAGCCAGTGCCTTCTCTGTCGTGCCAGCTGTGATCTTAGCAGACCAATGCCCTGAACTACGTGGTGCAATCAACAAAAGTCCTTCTGAATTCTTCCCTACGACTGAACCCACTGTGCCTGTCCTTGAAGCACAGCCAGCCCTGCTGTGCTCCTGTCTCCTCCTCCTCCAGAGACCTGGAGTTCATCTGACTCCACGTCTTTGACCATCGCCTTCTGCCCGCCATCCTCTTCCTCCATCCACTCTAACTCCAGTCAAGTGCATAAACTTCAAGCTGGTGACTGATTTTCCTCCTGCCAGCACTTCATAGCAGCGTGACCCAGCCGTGCCTCTCTTCAGTGGCCTGACACTGTCTGAAATACATATTCTCTCCCTTTTATACTTCAGTCTGCAGATGACTCTGTGTTCTGTGCTCTCCTGCTACCCAGTGTATTCTCTGCCCATCACCTTTATCCCCCAGACCTCTCCTGGTTTAGTTTTATTTCCCAGGGACCCAGCTGTTCTCCTCCTCTTTGTTATCCCCAGCCTTCTGTTCTTGTTCTGCATCACGTCAAGCCCCTTTGTCAGCTTTTCTTTCCCAGTCGCTGCTGTTTCTCCCCGTCCCTCTTGGGATCTCACCTTCCATGGTCTCACTGCTCCCAAAGGTGCCCTTATTCAGCAGGTCTTTGAAAACTCAGATTGTCTCATTCACACTTCATGTCTGTCTGACCATACGTGAAGATGCCCTGTCTGGACCCGTCTCAGTTCTTTCCATCTTGTTTCTGGAGCTCAGCTCTGCTCTCTGAGTCGAGGAAAATAGTTGTCCACAAGCACATCCCCTTTGTTCTTACATTTCATTGTCTCCATTGTCTACTCCAGCCTTTGGATCTCATCCACCAGAAACATCCCTCATGCGCTTCCCTCCCCCTTGTGCACACCCATCCCAAAAAATAATAATACCACAAGATTAAAAGTCTGTAAACTTTCTTTTTTTGTGCCTCTGTTTGCTTGGCTGCCTTGCTTGCCCCCTCTGTCTGTTGCCCAGGTGAGCCCTGGTCTCTCCCTGAAGGTTGGCCCTTGAGTATCCATCAGAACCAAGGAAAGGCAGATGCCTTCCTCATGGACCTGTTTGCAAACCAGTCAGACCACCGACCCCACGGACTGAAAGAGCAAGAGAGGAGCAGGCAGAGGCATGGAAACCATGTGTGGGACCCTGCTTCCTCCTCCCCTGGTGGAAATCCCTGCAGGAATAGGATGGCACCATCTTATTCTTTCAGATGCTTGGGACTTTCCTTGGGGAGCTCCCTGGTGGTTTGGGTTGTTGCTGTTGCTTTCTCCCTGGAGATGTTTTGTGTGCTGGAAGTGACAGATTTACAGTATTAGAGAATTATTGTTCCTGCTTTTGTCCTGTGTTTTATTCACTGCAGGCCATTACTGTAACATGGCTATGATGGTGTTATGGGGTGAAAACAGGCCACCTGTGGCATTTTACACCAAATCAGTGTAAACCAGGAAAATCAGCAAAAATTGGGTCAGCAGAGAGGATGGTGATGCTTCTGGGCTTAGAGCTGCAGGTCTCAGCTCATTATACTGATAAACAGAGACTTGACTTGCAAGATGAACCTTTCCACAGCAACCCTGGATCAACCTTTACCCCTCAACCTGGAGATTAAACATTGACCAGGGAGGAAAAATTCCATAGTGTCCTGATGTGCATTATATATTTAGATACTTGAAATGTTGCCACGTGGATATACTGTGGATATAAATCTCATTAAATATTTAAATGGTGATCATACTCCATGTCCTTTCTAGGACTGAGGCTGTTCTCATGGCAAGACCTTTCCCCTTTTACTTTGCATGACTCCAGGGAGACCTTAGGGCTTCTTCCAGGGCCTAAAGGGGCTCCAAGAAAACTGGAGAGGAACTTTGGACAGGGACACAGAGTGACAGCAAAAGGGGGAATGGCTTCCCCCTGCCAGAGGGCAGGGTTAGATGGGATACTGGGAAGGAATTCTTCCCCGTGAGAGTGGGGAGGCCCTGGCACAGGCTGCCCTGAGAAACTGTGGCTGCCCCATCCCTGGAAGAGTCCAGGGCCAGGCTGGACGGGGCTTGGAGCAACCTGGGCTGGTGGAAGGTGTCCCTGCCCATGGCAGGGGTGAAACAGGATGGTCTTTAAGGTCCCTTCCAACCCAAACCATTCTGTGATACCTCAGGCAGCAACCAGCCCCTTCCCGTGCAGCCACACTGGTCCCTGTGGTCTCTGGTCTCCTGAGAACCCTCTGATTCTCCTGAGGCTTATGATATTTTATTAATATTTTCATTAATAGATATTTTAAAAACTTAATTTATTAATATTTATATTAATTAGGATACATTTAATAGGCAGGAGATATTATCAGGGAGGCACGGAGCTGTAGCCTGTCACTGGAAGACGCAGAGCAGCTTTCACACTCAGACATTAATCTCCTCCAAGCTGCATGGAGATAACTCTGATCTGTGCTCTGGCTTTTCGCGCTGCTCCTGTTCCAACAGGACTGTGATGCTGCAGCTTTACTGGCCGTGGTGGGAGCTGGGGTGTGGGGAGGGGGCGGGTGCTGGCGGGAGAGGGGTCTTACCACAGCAAACTGCCCGGCATGGAAGGCTTTGAAATGGGGATTTGCATCAAAGGAAAACTGTCAGGGTTAGTTAAATATTCCTCTAAATATGTAAAGGAATGGAGTTACTGATGCTTGTTATTCTTATCTTATTCTTGGTGTCACAACATCTTTAAGTTCAGTGAAGGTTTCACTTACTAAGGCGGTTGTAAAGATTTCACATTAATTAAGAGGACTCCACTGCAAATCTGAATATGAATGAAGTTTGGCTGCTGAACCCCAGGGCAGTGAGTACTGTGGGAACAGCAGACATTGACAAATGTTGATTTAAAAAAAAACAACTCAAAAAAACCCCAAAACCAAAACCCAGAAAAACACCTAAACCAGTGCTTGAATCTTGTACCTGTTCTGTGAGAGAGAAAAAATTGAGTTTGAGTTACCAGAAGAAAATAAAATAGATTTTGACTTGAATTTGTAGTAAAAGAGGTGAAATTCTGTCTATCAGAGCACTGATGAGTGTCCTGTGCCACCAGAGCCCAGGGTTCAGACACATCACTCTGGCACAGCTGCTCCCTCTCTGCAGGCAGAGTTTCAGTAGGTGGGCGGATCTTCAATGGAGGACGGGGACAATTCTGGGCTTGATCCTGATCTCATTGCTTTGCTGAAGTCCCATTAAGTCCAGTCAGCCTTGACTGGTGGAAATTCACTTGAGGTGGAGCTTCACCCTGTGGGGACAGTGCAGGCAGTTGTAGGAGCCTGGGGAATGAGGCTTCTGAGGGTGGAGCTCTCATGATGAAGAGACTAGAAATATTATTTCCCCAACACCTGCTTTTTTGGGGGAGTTTTTCATAGCTGGCAGCACTTGGAAGAGCAGTAGCTAAGAGCTAGGGCAAGCAGTTGTCACTTGGGTATCTGTGTTTCTCTTCCAACTCCAGTGCAGAGTTGCTGTTGATGAACTGGGGTGAGTCCTCCTCTCTTCATCTCTCCACTCATCCATCTGGAGATGGGCGAGCTCACCTGGCTGGACGGGGCTGACGTGCCTTTGCAAAGCGGTTTCGGGCAATGTGACAGGTGCTGCAGAGGTGCCAAGCACTGCCCCACCTTCTAGGGAAGGACTTTGGGGGAGGAAGTGGTGATACACAACATTTTAACTTTGCTGGAATACATTGGACTTGGCTTTTGGAGTGGAAAGTGACAGTCCAAGAGCCTAAATAAATCGGATTTGTCCTCTTAAGAAGGGTAGGGGCAGCATGTGAGATGGTGTGGGGGTGTTTTATTGTGGTTTATTGTTGTTATTTTTTATTCACGGTTCCTTGAGCCAGTCCTGGGAATTGCACTGACTGTGGTTATGTTTCTGGAAATGTGCAGGTTGGCCAGATGCAGTGGGGCATGGAGTGAACAGAAAGAGGTTAAATTGATGGATGACCAACAAGAGCAGGATTGTGCCTCAGAAGACCAAGAAACTATCCTGATTAATGGGGTGAAAGAAAATGGTAAGGAACTTAATTACGGTACATGAGGGAGCAGCGACAACTTGCAAGCCAACTTATTTTCCTAATTCATTCTGTGTGTTTAATTTTAGCAGTTTGTGGATATCTCTGCAATGTGGAGCAGTGAGGTAAATGGGTGTTTTCTGCACAAGTGTCACTCCTGCCATGAATCTACACCTTTTTAGGTCTTAACAAGTACTGCTTTTACCCGTGCATGGATGTGGCTGGAAATGCTTCTGTGCACATGCAGTTTGAATTAGAGAGTTTAGTTTGGTTTCTTAGGGGGAAAAAATCATCCAGGACTGTGTAGCCCCTCTGTATGTTGGGAATCTTTCCCTCTCTCAGCAGTTATGAACCCACTACCCAATATTAGCAAAATTTAACTGGAGGATACTTAGTCCCTACAAGCTGTGGCCAATTACAGGTTGGTTAGAAGAAGCAAACCAGGATGGTTTGTTTCCCATGGGAAGGCAAGCTTGACTTTTGAGCTCCCATAACCTCTCTTCTGCACACATGCTGGTGCCACTGGCCACACTGGTGCCACTGGGAGCCACCAAGTCATTCCAGCTGCCACTGGCTTTGGAGAGGAAGGATCAGCCCCTTCCAGCAGCCTGCCCAAAATGCCCAACTTTGTATCTATTCCATCGATTCCAGACTTGCTTTCAAAATAACTAATCAGAAGTAACAGTGCTCAGCTGTCTGAAACCCTGATTGAAATAAATGCGCCTCTGAGCAGTTTCTCAGGTCATGTGGACTGTAGTCACTGGCCACAGTAAATGCAGAGGGGAGGCAGAGCCTGACATTTTCACTCTCCAAGCATGTTTTCTGCTTAATTTCATGGCTTTTTACATTTTCTATTGGCCTATAAATCTTGAGATGTATATTTATTTATATATAAATTTGATCCTGTTAGATATCAAGGGTCGTCTGACACATTGTATGTTCAGGTCCTTCAGCTTCAAACAAGGTATGTGGAGTCAAATGTTGTTCTTGTCCATTACCAAAAACCTGGAGCAACTCCACACACACAGGTGTCCGTAGGGACCCTGCAGTACGTGCTGGTGGTATAATTTGGGAGATTTCTGTCTCTTTCCTGACTACACACAGTAAATCCACAGCTGCTGGAGCTGCTGGAGCTGCTGAAGCTGCAAGGGGATTTTCTAGCCATGATCTCCTTGTCTGATCCCATGGAAGTAAAATCAGTGCTTCCCTGCTCAGTAAGGAGGGATGATTTCTAGAACCTGATACCACATCCATGGTATTCAACTAAACAGGGCTTAAAAAGTGCTTTAATTAGACATAGAATCATAGAACAGTTTGGGTTGGAAGGGACCCTAAAGCCCATCCAGTCCCACTCCCTGCCATGGGCAGGGACACCTCCCACTATCCCAGGTTGTTCCAAGTCTCATCCAACTTGACCTTGGACACTTCCAGGGATGGGGCAGCCACAGCTTCTCAGGGCAGCCTATGCCAGGGCCTCCCCACCCTCACAGCCAGGAAATCCTTCCCAGTATCCCATCTAAACCTCCCCTCTGTCAGTTTAAACTTCCAGTTTAAACCTTGGTGTGTAGGAGTTGCTGCTGAATCCAAAGCAGTGAGCCAGCACTCTGGTGCCACCACCTCCCCTTGCCCATGTGCTTTTGGGTGGATGTTGAGTTAAACTGGGAAGAGTGTTTTTGCCTCTCAGCTTTCTCCGTGTGAACTGTACTCTTTTGGAGCATCAGTTGAACATACGCCTGACTTTAGGCCAATACGGAGCCCTAGAAAATCAAGTTTTGGCATTTGTATTTCAAGAGTTAAGTTCACTCACACAAGTATAAACCTAAAGAAACACCCAGAGACAGTTTATTTTATATAATAGCAGCTCTGACTATTGACTGCAGCATTCCAGATTGAATTTCAGCTTTCTGCCTCCCCCTTCTTTGAGTCTTACAGCATTCACAGACATTCTTCTTTTATCCTCAAATTTTCCATGCTTCCTGTCAGCTCCAAGCTGGTTTTTATTTTATTTTACTTCTGAAGTGGAACTGCACTGGTTAATTTGTTTTGGTGCTTAAGGAAAAAGATACCACCTCTGCATTTCTCATCTGAAAACTGGTGGGAGGGACTCAAAAATCAGCTTTTTTCTTTCTTTCTTTTTTTTTTTTTTTAACCCTTTTCAAGCAAGCCCGGCTGGTCTTTTACAAGTCGTGCATGTCGAAGATGCTTACATTGCACTTCTGGTTGGATTTATGGAGTCTTTGGAAAGTGGTTTAAAGTCCTTAGAGCACTGTGTGGTTCTGGCTGCAGCTTGTACTTTGTTTGGGCTTCACTGGTGGGGTCCATCCCTAAGGCCCCCACAGCACAAAACTGCTTTGGGGATGGGATTGGGGGGTTCCTGATCTCCTCTAAGTTTTACACTTGGCACGGGCAGGAATCCCACTCCTTCCATTACATCCTGTTCCTTTCCATCCTGCCCACTTGCTCTGCTCGGTGGGTTTTCCATCATGGCCATGGTACATGTGCCTACACAGACCTTCCCTTCCCAGACTGCCAAAGATTCAAGAGACTTGCTTTCCTTTGAGTTGGGAATAAAAGCACTTGTGGAGGGGTTGCAGCAGCCAAATCCCTCTGGATACCCCATTTAATGCCACATCCTAGTGCTCTGGTTGTGGTTTAAAGCATTTGTCCCTCCTTGGAAAGCCTCGTTGCTTCCATTCTCCTGCCTCTGCCTTCAGTGGAGCCACCAAAAAGGAAAGACATGAGCCATGACAAAGGCCCTGGGCTCGGAGTCGGCACAGGTCTCTGGCTGGGATGAATGCACTCATTGGAATATATATTTTTAATACAGAGATATCAGAGCGTGTTCGTGGATGAAAAGACGTTGTATTTAAATTTCAAGGGTCATATCGTCCGTTGAACCAGAAGTCAGATAAAAGTGCATTCATAACTTTATTCTGCCATAAAAGAGCCCGACGAGGTAAAACTACAAAAATCCTTAGGTTAAAAAAAATCCTTACGTTATTAGAAAGGCATTTTTACAGATAAGGGAAGAATGGCATAACTCACAATAATTCTAACAATAATTGCTTTAAACTCTGTGTAATCTTCTGCCTTCCCTTGGCATGGACAGTGACAAAAAGACTGCTGGGTTTTTAAAATCAGCTGTAACTTTCTGTCTCTGGAGCAGAAGTGCAGCTCAGGTGTGTGTAAGCTCAGGCACCACAGGGGGGATGCTTCGTTTCTTTAAGAATCTTATTTTTCTGTTAATTTTTTTCAATGTTAATGGGAACATTTTTATTAGGCTTGTTTTGTTTTTTAATAACCTTGTCAGGTTTGAGAGGCAGTATCCAGGTAACGGTATGAATACGAGGAGGGAAGAGTGGATGGGTTGGGTTTTTCAAACGTACTCTTGTACCTCTTCCAGCTGCTGCAGAGGGGAGCGTGTTTACCTCTCCCTTCCATCCACATCACCACGTTAATTGGATCCAGGAGGGAAGGACTGCACGCTCGTGGGAAGGGCATGTGCTGCTTCCCAAAGGAGCAGTCGGGAAAAGTCACCACCAAATGCTGGGAGAAGGGGAGCGGGGTGGCAAACCCGAGCAGACCTGCGAGGGTAGTAACCCTTCTCTATTTCTCTTGCTTTCCTCCCTCCCTCTTCCTTATTCCCCCCAGAGTCACACGCCCTGGGCGGCGATGAGAGGCCTTGCAGCGCTGCCGAGGCCGCGGTGCCGTTCCCAGCCCTGACCGCGGCGCCGAGGGAAAGCCACGCGTGCCACCGAGCCCCGCCGGCCAAGAAGCCCTGCCTGCTGAGCCCCCCGTCGCCGCTGCGGCTCACGGATGTCCCCGAGCACGCCTCGGATGACTCCTCCGCCCACGCCATCTCCCTCACGTCCTGCGTGACCAAGGGCATGAGCTCCTGGTCGCTGCCGGGCGACTGCGAGAAGGCTCCGTTCACCATGATGGAGCCCGGAGGAATGTCGGCGCTGACGGGAGACTGCCTGATGCAGCCGAGCCGGACCTGTCTGGGCTGCTTTATTGAATCCAAGGACGGCATTGATGCAGAACCGGGAATAAGCTTGAAAGTGGGGGATATAAATAGGGATTATGACACCTGTTCAGTCTCTGATATAGGGATTCACTGCATGAGCACAGGAGAAACCATGAGATATGGGGATCAACTGCTTTCAGACCAGCTTTTAAGCTTCCCTATGCATAAATCGAGGGCAGCGGACAAAAGAGATGCAGAAAAATCTGACAGTGATTCAGAGGACCCCACTCAGAAAAATTATTACGAGGGATTACTATTAGACAAATGCAATGGTGAGGAACCTTTACTAACAAATCCCAACCAGGAATGGGGCTATTTTGAATCTTTCATTAGTGAAAGTAAAATTGAGCTGCTTGACCTCTGCTCCAAAAATGAGCTTTCTGTGAATCTGTTTTCTGAGGAAGACGTGGATAATTACATGTTCGACGATGATGATTCCACCTTGGGAAGTGATGTCTGCTCCCTAAAGATTAGATACGAATCTTTCCAGGACAACGTGCGGGAGAAGACCACCACCCTACAGGAGGATGCCCAGTTCAACTTCTTTCCCAGCGTGTTCAGCAACTGCACCAAAAGGGACAGCAGGAGCACCCTGAAAAGGGGGCCCAGCGGTGCCACTGACCCCTCTCAATTCAAATCTGAGGAAGGCATCATCTGGGGGGAGGAGGAGGAGGATGGCGAGGAAGAGGATGGTGAGGAGGAGGAGAAAGCTGCCTTAAATAAATCTTGCAACAGCACAGAGATGGTGCAGTACGTGGGCTCCAAGAGGAGCCACTTCTTGGACTCGGTGAATTCCACGGAGGACTCCGGGGAGTTCAGTGATGACAGCACTTGCACGGAGTCCTCCTATGACGTGCTGCGGGACATCAAGGACTGCAGCCGGTACCTGGCCCGGGACCACTCTGGCTCCTTCATCCAGCAGAACTACGGGTTGCGGGCAAAGAGGAAAGTGCGGTACAGCGACGACTACCTGTATGATGTGGACTCCATTGAGAACGAGAAGATCCTGGACAAGAAGGAGTGGCTCCCGGACGGGCCCAAGGAGGAGGACGATGACGAGTGGTGCCCCAAGAAACGGCGAAAAGTCTCTCGCAAAGAGCCCCCCGTGATCATCAAGTACATCATCATTAACAGGTTTAAAGGGGAGAAGCATATGCTGGTGAAGCTCAGCAAAGTGGATGCCAATGAGACAACTGTTACTCTGAACGAGGAGCTGCTCAGCAAATACAAGAAGCTGGCCCCACTGAAGGGCTTCTGGCAGGAGAGGCAGCAGAGCCGGCTGGATTTGCTCAGATCGTCTCTCTACCACAAGCAGAATTTCTATCTTAACGGCTCAGATGCTTCGTTCCTCCCTCACCCACGGAAGCGAAAATGCAAGCTAGCAAACAGGCACCGGATTCAAAGAATTAAAGCCATCGAGCAGTCAGTGAACAAGCTGGGCTCTTGCTCCTCTGATCACAAGCAGCCTTGCAGCAGTAAGGAGGACGTGGGCCTGAAAGGGCTGCCGGCGTTAGCCATCGCCACCCCCAGCTGTGCCAACGGATTACACGTCCACGACATCACGGGCATCGCCGCCGTGAAATGCAAATCGCAGGAACGGGAGCACAAGGGGACGGAAAGGAAAGTGCTCCGCAGGATCAAATTCAAAAGCGAGGCCAGGTTGAAGTGCAAGAAGATCAAAGCTGCTACCAGTACAGTTGAGGACTCCCCAGCACTGGAAAACCAGGGCCCTGCAGCACGTCTGAAGGACGAAAAGAGTCCCTGTGCTTCAGACAGCTCCCATCTCCCGGAGTGCCACGAGGATAAGGTTGCTAAAAATTCTCCTTTCCTACCATCCACCTCCTCTTCAGACAAGCCTCTGCCATCTGCTAATATCACCACCAATGTACCCCTGATCCCTGGAGGGTATCTGCAGACGTTGTTAGATGCTTCAGATTTGTCGAGCAACACGGGTATCCCATACTTCGCCCAGCACCCCTCCGAGCAGCCGCAGCACCCGCTCCCCAGCATCGTCCGGCCAGAGAAGCCCTTCCCGGCCCTGCAGCCGGCACAGAGCTGTGTGCTCTCCCCGCCCTCTGAGTCGGAGCTACAGCAGTCGCCCGGCCACTTGGAGATGGAGCAGAGCAGCTTCGGCAGCCTGTGGCCGGCCAAGGCCGGCAGTGACCGCCAGGACTTCCCCGGCGACCTGCCGGAGGCAGCCGGGCTGCCGGGCGAGTTCGGCGGCGGCGGCACCCCAGGCACAGACGGGCTCCCTGCCTCTGGATACACTCAAGTCAATCTGAATAGCGGCAAATTGCTATACCAAAAAAATTACATGCCGGATAGCCAACAAGTGCAGTCTGATGATTCTTATCAGTCATGTCATTTTAATAATGGAGAGGGGCGCTTTCATTTCCAACGAGGTACACTAAGTACAGATGATGGCAGGCTCATTAGTTTTGATTCAGTGGGTTCATTGTCAGTTAGTTCTAGTAATTACAGTTCTTTAAGTTTAAAGTCTTGTGAAAAGGACGGCGAGGATGATATTAATGATGATTTCTTGGCCCACTGCAGTCCCAAGTTAGTGATCCAGCAGAGCATAGATGAAATCACCCCTTTGAAGGAGTCCACGGACCTTTTAGACATTTCCAACTTCACGCCTGATAGGTTCCGCCAGTCGTCACTTTCGGAGATGTCCCCTCCAGACACTCCCAACCTGTCCCCACAGATAGCTGGCTCCGATGCCAAGCCTCTGGGCACCCTGAAGGGCTTTCAGGAGAGCCCCCAGGCTGCCCTCAACAGCTCCGAGAAGGTCAAGTGGAACTGTGGAGTCCTACAGACCGAGGATCAGGCAGATAATGGGTTTGCTTTAAATAATCACCAGTTCCAGTTCCATATGTTCAACGATGAAGATTCTGTCAGCCTTCTCGAAAAGAGTCCATGCTTGTCAACATTTAATGAGCCATCTGGTCAAATTAGCACCAATAGCAAAGTGTCAAAATCGAAGAGGAAAAGTTCATCCAGCAAGAATGTGGGTACAAACCAAAGCTCTTCCCAGAAAGCCACCCGAAAAAAATCGCCCAAAACCAACAAAGGAACCGATAAGCCGCAAGGAAAGAACTCCAGGCAGGCACCCAAATCCACCAGGAAAGGGAAAAATGCAGTGGGAGTCAACGGTGAGAAGGTTCCGGCTGTTGGTGGCAGGGCAGTCCCTCAGCTGAGCACGGTGGCCACGGCCACCAAGGGCCTGGTTGAGGGCACTCAGCACTGCGGCCCAGCCGGGGTGAAGCTGGGCAAGCACAACGGGCTCTCCGGAGAGTGGGCACTGGGAAAAGAGGGGGGCACGGGCTGGTCAGAACCCAGCCTGGGCAATGCCACCAGCCTCCTGGATGACGATCAGAGGGAGTTTGAGGAACCTTCCAACATCCTGTCCAACATCGCATCGGGAATGGCTGATGTCCAGAGGTTTATGATGGCCTCCATCGAGCCCTTGTGGGGGCCTGTCAGCCACAACAGTGTTCCAGACATATTCCGGTCACCAGAGTCCAACAGTCTGAAACTGAAAACTCTTAAAATTTTGGCAGGGACTTCCCAAGAGTCGAAGAAGAAGGCGAACGGTGGCTCGCCAGGGGCGGCGAAGAACCACAAGTCAAACAACAAGGGCTCAAGTAAAAACAGCAAAGCCGCAACCTGCGACCCCAGTCGCCCCAACTGCTCGACCGGGTTCACCACGGACATTCACGCTCCCTTTTTTGATAAAAACTATAGTAACCTGAGCACTTTAGGCAATAATGGACCTACCCATAAAAAACTCTACCGTCATAAATCCAGTTCGAAATCACTGCGGGATGAGAACTGTAAAATCAAGCGGACGGACCGCGAACAGCCCCACAAGGACCCACCCGTGACAGCTGCTTTTGAGAAACTGAGGTAATGCTGCACCAAACTGGCTGGAATGCCCCTAACCTCCCTCCCACCTGCTAGGCCCGCTGTTCCTCAGTTTTTCCTTCCTGAAAGCAAAAGTTGCATGAAAAAAAAAAAAAAGACATTCCCCTTTTACAGTTTTGGTTGGTTTTGGTTTTGGGGTTGGTTTCTTTTTTTTGTTTGTTTGGTTGGTTTTTTATTATTATTTTTAAATGCATGAAAATACTTATGACTTGCAAGCTACCTAAAAGAATGACCAATTTTCTGGCTTGGCTGGGGTTAAAAAAACTAACAAGGCTACTCTTTTCTGCTGTTTGGCTTCTTCAGTTCTTAATTACTTATTTATTGGGGAAAAACAAAAACAAAAAAAAAAAACATGATTACACGCTCTTTTTAATGATTTTGACAAGGAAAGACTTTTTTTTTTTTTTTTGAAAATTTTTGAAAAAAAAAAACCAAAAAAAAAAAAAAAAGAGGTTCTGCATCCAAAAGCCAAGATCTCGAAACTTAAAGGCTCTTTACTTTGCAAATGAGAACTTGTTCCTAATTGAGCTTCACGTGGCAATTTTTGAGTGCTTTCTGGCCCCCTCTGCTGTTGTATCTCCTAACCTGCATCATCTAAAGCTGCATCTTCTCTACCCGCCCGCCTTTAGCGCGTTCGCTCCGTCGTGGTGACTCCAGACGAGCTAACTAAGATGGCATCAAATGTTTGATTTTTTCCTGCAGGGAATCAGACTCCATTCTTCTTAAAGCAGAAACAACATTTTTGGGTTTTCCTGTATTTGAAGAAGAGACTCCCTTTTCTAGAAAGACGGTTGATGTTTGGTTCTTTTCTTACCATTTCTTTTTCAGTTGGGTTTGTTTTTTTTCCCGTCGGTTCCTTTTTGAAATCTGCCTTGTGGTCTGTTGAAATGTAAGTGCTGAAATGAAGAGTTTGAAATTGTGGGAATTTTATTCTTTGAAAGCAAACCTAATCTGGTATTCTCTGTGAAAGACTGTTTTAAAAGTCATACTGTTGTACAGTAGTTTATGCACTATTACCCACAACAACAAAAAATTGTGCCAAACTATGAACAAGTGACTGTATTGTATATATTTTTACTTCTCTATCAACATTGGGTTGTGAGTGTTTTCTGCAGCTATGCCTTTTGGTTTTACTAGAAACATTCCAGTTGTTAAGTACTAACCACCCCCCTTTGAAAGCACCTGTAACTCACGATGAAAACGATCTTGTTCACTGATACAACTTACCAAAAGTTTTATGGACATGACTAAAAGTGTGCCAAATTTACTTACCTCATTTCATGGATTCACCCTGTGGTTTAAAGCTCATAAAGGGAAAAAAAAAAAAAAAAAAGGAAAAAAATAAAAAAAAAGGGGGGGGGGAGGAAAAAGGAACTTTGAAACCGATGCTGGGAAATGGTAACATCCTCTCTTTGAAACCACAAGCGGATAAACTTAATAGTGAAATGTTGAGTTTAATTCTAGGAGAGAGTTGCAATGGTGGAGGAGTTCAGAAAACCACTGACGGTAAGTTTGCCAGGAACTCAAGTGTCTGCATCTAGAGACTACAGAACAGCTGCTTTTCAAGTATCTGTTTTCTTAAAGCAAAACCTGTAGCTGAAGATCATTTGAAATGCAAAGTTACATTGCTAATTCTTTGTATCTCAGTTTTATATATTTTATAAGAACCTGGGATAAACTCTAAAATAGGTATAAAAACAGAACTAATACATTTCATACATTGATTGCTATTTACTTTTCCTTTGAGTAGTTTCTTAAACATTTTCGATGCAGAGCCTGTCAGAAGCGCTCTCCCATCATAGCTTTGGTGTTTCCTCAGTGTCTAACCTTGCGATGCCAATATAGTTTGAACTTTCAAAAGCAAAGTAATTCATTTTAAATACAACTCCTAACCTTTTCTTTGACTCAGTTCATCAAAAAAAAAAAACAACGGAGCTATTTGTGATCTCACCAATCAGGGCCAGATCATCCATGACTGGACTTTATTAAGACAGCGTTAAGTATTGAATGCTAAATGTATTCTCAAAAGGCCTTATTTGTAACCCTACTCACCACACCCTCGCCCTCCATGAGAATAACGAACCCAACCAATATCTATTTTCCTTGTGCAACTGAGAGCCTGTGAGTTTTGCTGCTGATTTCTTACGAAAAACCTTGATATGCAAGAGCCCTGCGAACTGGGAGCGATTGGGAGCAGAGGGATGCGAGGCTTGGACATGATATGCAATAGAAAACTGATGAGGAAGAGGAGCCTCAGTAAAGCAGTGGGACAGATCATGTTGCCGATGTGGTTGCAAGCAGAGATGGTGTCCCACGAGAGCAGGACTAGGCTCAGGTTTCCTTACTAGGAGGTTTGTTTCCGCCCACGTGCAAGGCAAAGCAGCAGAATTGGTTGAAGTTAGTTTAGCAAAAAAACCAGAGCGAGCACTCGTAATCAAAGTGGAGATGCAGAGTGTTGTTTTGAATCAAAATGTTTCCAGCGCTTGCAGGTCTTGAGGTGTAGCTGAGGCTCAGCTCTGTGATCCCAAAGAGAACAGCTCGGCAGTTGTGTTGCGCTTTATTTAACAGATGAAAGAAAGAACTCTGAAAAAAATAGTATTTAGAAGCCCCATCCTTTAAGTTCATTTTTGCTGGAATAAATGCTGGCTTTGCCTGGAGTGAGTTGCTCTGGATGAGAGTGGTCCCTGGGTATCTCACAGGGTGCAGTGTCCTACCCCAGCTCTGGCTTCAGGAGGGAGATCCAGAAGATGCTCAGGATTTATTTTGGAGACAAGAGCTGAGGTAGGGCTCCATCCCTGGGTGCTGGGCTTGCCTGCAGCCATCATGCTCTCCCCACTTCCCCAGCAGCTCTTTTCTATTCGTAGGCTCATCAGATACTACAAGCTCCAGCCACTGCTGTGGTGTTGGCACATCCCTTTTTTTCAGCGTTCGTCCCACGTGCTGCAGGATGAGGGGCTGGCAGCTCCCTTCTTTGAGATGTTCTGGCTGCTGCTTTTATGGAGACAGGTCAAGTCCAGGGCTGAGATGTGGCACAGACCTTCTTTTTCACCCAAACCCACCATTTGAAAGCACATTTCACCTGGCCTGCACTATGCTTGTTATGCTTAATGTTATGAATATGGGACTTGTAATAAAACACCTTGTACAGGACTGGATAGCAATATTTATTGCATTTGAGAAGTGTGCAATAGGGCATGAAGATCAGGCATAAAACATATCGACTATTTTATATTTCTCGGTGATCCATGAAAAACCAGCTCGGTGTTTAAGGACGATGGTAGTCACAAATACCAGCTGCCTTGTTGCTCTCTCTTTTATTCCTGCCACCTGATTTCACTGCCATCTTTGGTGGTCATCCCATCTCCACCCCAAAAATCTCTGTTAAACAGCCTGGGTCCCTCATGGTGTGGCACTGGCCCTTCCCGGGGTTTGACGAAGTCATCCTCTGCTACTTGACCTCAAAATTTGGAAATTGTCCTGAGCCAACCATTTACCCTCTTCCCTTTTGATCTTTGTGGGATATTTGGGTTGAAAGGGTCCTTTAAAGGTCATTTAGTCCAACCCCCCTGTAATGAACAGGGACATCTTTGACTAGACCAGGTTCCTCAGAGCTCTGTGTGACTGACCTTGAATGCTCCCAGGGCCATCTCTGGCAGTCACAGCTTCTCTGGGCAACCTGTGCCAGTGTTTCACCACCTTCATAAAAAATTTCTTTCTCAGGTCCTTCTCGGCAGGGCTGCTCTCAATCCCTTCATCCCCCAGCCTGTGTGGATCCCAGGGATTGCCCCATCCCCGCTGCAGCACCTCTTATTTGGCCGTCTTGAACCTCGTGAGTTTCCCATGGGCCCCCTTCTCGAGCTTGGTCAGGTTCCTCTGGTTGTCACTCTGTCCCTCAGGTGTGTCAACCACACTTGCTCAGCTTGGTGTCATCTGCACACTTGCTGAACACTCGTTCCCACTGTCTGCATCATTGGTGAAGATCCTGAACAGTACTGGTCCCAGTATGGACCCCTGAGGGACACCACTGGTCACTAATATCCATTGGACATTGAGCTGTTGAGATGTGATCATCCAACCAATTCCTCATCTTCTGAACAGTCCATCCATCAAACTCATCTCTCTCCAGTTTAGAAAGAAGGGTGCTGTGGGAGACTGTTTAAAGGCCTTACAGAAGTCCAAATAAATGACATCTGTAGCACTTCCCTTGTCCACTGATGGAGTCACCCCTATCAGAGAAGGCCACTGGGTTGGACAGGCAGGACTTGCCTGTGGTGAAGCTGTACAGGATGTCCCAGATCACCTCCTTGTCCTCCAGGAGCCTCTGGGAGGGTCTGTTCCAGGATCCTCCCAGACACAGAGGTGAGGCTGACAGGTTGGTCGTTCCCAGGGTCCTACTTTTTATACTTGCTCAGAATGGGTGCGATGTTTTGCTTTTCCCTTTCTCCACGACTTCACCTGTCATGACTTTTTAGATACCATGGAGAGCTACTTGGCAGCTACATCAGCCAGTTGCCTCGGGACTGTGGGATGCACCTCATCAGGTTCCATAGACTTATGTACGTTCAGGTTCCTCAGGTCATCACAAACTTGATCTTCTCTCACAATGAGAGGGACTTTGCTCTTGCAGTCCCTGTCCTGTGGTTCATCCACTCAAGGGTGGTGGAAAGAGAGGTTGCCTCAGCCTTCTCATCTATTGGTACCCGTTTGCCAGTCACGTTACACCTTCTTTGACCCTTCCTTTTCAGTCTGTAGAAGCCCTTCCTGTTATTCTTTACATCTCATGCCAAGTTCAGCTCCATCCGCACCTTGGCCTTCCACACCCCATCCCTACACGACCTGGAAGCATCCCAATACTCTTCCCAGGATACCTGTCCCTGCTCCCACTGCCTGTGCATTTCCTCTTGCCCTTCAGTTGGGACCAGCAGGTCCTGACTCAGCCATGCCAGTCTCTTGCCTTCCTTGCCCAATTTCTTACACCTGGGGATTGAGAGCCCTTGTGCTCTATGGAAAACATCCTGAAAGATCTACCAGCTCTGTTCTGTTCCCTTGTCCCTGAGGGCAGTTTCCCAGGGGATCCTATTGACTAACTCCTCGAAGAGCTGGAAGTGTGTTTTCCTAGAATTCATCACCACCTGCCTATCGCTACCTCAAGGTTTTCATCACTCCCCACCTTTGCCTTGTCCCTTACTGTACAGGCTCTTATTTTCCATTTGCCTTTCTTGGTGCATTTTTGTTTCTCGTGGCGCAGCTCACAGCTGGGGCAGGACTGGGAGGTGGGTCCCATCCATCCCTGCCCACCACCCCCACGCCCCAGGGCTCCCTGTGCCTGCCTGCACTGGCTCCCCTCTCAGCCCATCCTCTTGCCTGCTCCCAGTGAAACTTCCATCCTTCTCACACCTTCAAGTTGGGCTCCTGGCTGGGGCAACAAAGCCAAGCCACACAAAAGATGTTTATTCTGCAGCATCTTTTCTACTTTATCTCATCCCACTTCTACTCCGATGTGTCCCACCAAGCCTGGTGTGGGCAGTGCTGCTCTCCTGGGTTTGGGGGGCTTAAAATTGGCAGTGACATTAAAAAACAGAAACCATCTGCTTCCAAAGCATGGTCATAAAGTCTGTCCAAGAGGAGAACAACACAGGGCAGCACAGCTTGAGCCCTTGGCTCTTGCCCACCTCGGAGCTGGAGCAGGAGCTGCCTGAGAGCAGGGGAAGGTGGTACTCCCCCCTGTCCCACGGGGTGTGGCTCTCCTGGGGTCTGGGAAAGGATCCATTCTCTGTGCGGGCAGAGATGTCCTGCAGAACAAAACCCTGCAGCAGCTGAACAGGAGCCAGCCCACCCCACAGCCATCATTTGCTGGACACACTTGCATAGAGAGGTTTTGTAAATAGAAAAATATCACTGATGGGGATCCAATAAAAACCTATTGGGTTTTTATTTTAAAAAATAATCTTACCAGGTTTACATCTTGCTTTTCTTTTTCTAAGCATAAGAGGGTGGATGTTTTTGAAAAATGTCTTGAGAATAATGACTTGCAGACCAGAGGTAGCCAGGCATTTTGGGAGGAGGACAAGGAGGAGGAGGAGAAGGAGGGCAGGGGCAGCCACAGGGCTGTCCCATCCACACTGTGCCATCTGACTGCTCAGAAAGGAAAAGCCAGGGCTGGCTCAGCCTGGCCGTGGTTGCTTTGAGAAACCACTGTTGCTCTGTTTGCTCTTTTAAAAAGTCAGGATTGCTGTTAATTTTTTGGCATTATGGCTCAAATGAACCATGAACCAAAATAAAGATGTTTGAAGCATCGTCATCCTTTACCTGCTGGACCACATTCTTTCCCTAAGCTCCCAGTCTAGCAAAGCACTTAGGTGGGAGCTTGCTCCCAGGGCTCCGGCTCCACAAGTGCTTTCCTGGATGGCTGGTGATGTCAAATCCCAAGAAAAACTCCCTTGAAGTCAGTGTAGGTGAGAAGAGATTCAGGTGCGTGGACTTCGGTTGGCGCAGGATCAGGCCCTCGGTCTTTCCTCAACTCGATGTGTTGGATTTGCCTGTGCAGCTCCCAGGGGGCCCAGTGGAGGTTGCAGGTTCAAGCCGCTGACATCTGTCTGAGAATGTGCCTCTTTAGCTCTTCAGCGTGTGAAATAATGCAAAAAAAAAAAAAAAAGAAAAATATATAAAATAAACAAAGTACAATGTCTGTGGTAGAAGCAAGGCTTTTCAAATCTGTTTCTCAGGTAAACAAGTGACACTAATGACAGTGGAGTAACAGCCATCTAAGGGAATTGGGATGTGAAGCAGGAGGATTCCCTCCATCTCGCAGGATGCTTGGGTTGCCAGACACGTTTACTGAGCCTTTAAACACTTGGTGCAAAAGGAAACAAGAAATCAAATTGGTCTTTTCACTACCCTTCGCTAGCTAGACAGACAGACGTCCACTTCAAAAGCACAAAGGGAAGACTTAAACCTAGACTAAACCACACACACACAAAAAAGAAACCAAGGTACCGGTGAAACTCCTTTTGTCTCTTACTCCCGGTGGGAAGCAGGGTAGAAATCCAAGGAGCTGCTCTGTTCCGCTGCCCCGGCGCCGGCCAGGCGCCTCGACTGCTGCCTCCAGAGATGTGAATGTACTGCTCCTTGAGTCCCTTCCATAGAACTAGAGGCACCTCGTTAGGAAGTTGCTCCTGTTTTATGGTGCTAAAGAAAACTTTTATCCCCCCCCTTGAGCATTTAAGAACTATCAAATGGCCCTTTTTATGAATGTAACATATCCATTTCTGTTCCACATTTTACACTGCAATTTTAACATGTTTGGAAATGATTTGCCTTTTTTCTTTTAGAATAAGCTTTATAAATATTCTGTAGAGTCAATTGAAGTATAATTCTTAAGGATCACTCTAAGACGCCTACAAAATCTTGTATATTTTTAAGTGTGCCAATTTGTAAAATATTTTGTAAGTGTATATTTTTCTTAGAAAAGTGCTGTGAAGTGTTTGTATGTGTGAGGTTTCCCTTTTTTTGCACCTTCGGGTGTTAATAAAAGGATGTATACTTAAAAGTTTCTGGTTTTAAAAACCAAAATACAAAGAAAAAAATTAAACTTTTGTTGGGAATTTTGTAATAAAAAGAAATGTTGTGAAAGAGTGTAGTGATATTGTGTAAAGGAAACTGGAAAATTTGTGAGCGCTTTGCTGTTTTATAGATCCTCTTGTAAATTATTCTTGTAATATTTTGGGTTTTGTTGTTCTTGTTGCAAAGGTTTTAAATATTTGTGACTGACTCTGTATGGTGAAAACGTCATATTGTTAACTTGCTGAGTTTTGTTATATTGTTTATGGAATAAATAAAAAAATTAAAAATCTCATTTTAAGATCATGTATGAAGAAGAAATTAAAACTGCCGTTTATTGAATATTAGGAATCGGTTTTTAATTGAGAAATGGAAACTTCAAGTCAACACAGAGTTAACACTTTGCCTTCCCAGGGCGCAGAGATGGGTTTGGGCTTGTCAGAAGGGGAGGCTCTTCCCAACCCACTGTGCTGGGGGAGTGGATTCCCCATCCTGGCAGAATCCCAGCAGTGCCAGGAAGTACCCCCAGACTGGTCTTTCCCTGGGAAGGAGCAGGTGGGTGCAGTGAAATGCCACTGTCTTCATTTTCTTATAGAAAAGGCATAAAAATTACTTGTTTTAAAAATGACTGTTCCTTTCATCAGCCCTCAATGCTGGTAGCAACAATGTGGAGGGAGGAGAGGCATTAGTTCAGGCTGGGGTGTTCCAAGCCCTGCCAGCAGAAAGCAGGACATGGACACCGTGTTCAGCAACTGGATCCCTTGGCAAGGGGCTGGGAAATGATCCCCCAAAGCAGAGCTGGTATCACACACAAGCTGTCTGTTCCCAGGAGGGTTTCAGATGAGCAAAACAGGGCACAGGATTTCGGTGCTTCTGCCAGTCATGCAGATCCCTATGTCTTCACAGAATCCCAGAATGTGCTGAGCTGGAAGGGACCCACAAGAACCATCAAGTCCAACCCTCAGCTCTGCACAGGCCCAAGAGTCACCCCCTGTGCCCCAGAGGATCATCCAAACCCTCCTGGAGCTCTGGCAGCCTTGGGGCTGTGCCCACTGCCCTGGGGAGCCTGGGCAGTGCCCAACCAGCCTCTGGGGGAAGAACCTTTGGCTGAGATCCAACCTGAGCCTGCCCTGACACAGCTCCAGCCGTTCCCTGGCTGCTGTCCCTGGTCCCCCCAGAGCAGAGTTCAGTCCCTGCCCCTCCTCTGCCCCTGCCCAGGCAGTTGGAACTGCACTGAGGTCTCCCCTCAGTCTCCTCTGCTCCAGCTGAACACATCAAGTGCCCTCAGTGTCCTCACACGGCTTCAAATCAACGTCCTGCACCATCTTCACTGCCGATCTCTAACAGTTTAATAACACCTCGTGTAAGATGTCAGGAGCCCAGAGCAGAGAGTGGGGCAAGTGCTGGGGAGATGCTGTTGGCCAGGGAAGCCCATGGGCAGCTCAGCTTAAGGACTGAATCTGATCTGGTGCTAGAAGGGTTTACTCACCAGTAAGTAAAACTTGTAGAGGGACCAGCCAAGCTCATGGCCACCAAACCCATCTGGTGTCTATCTTATATGGCTGGAAATAGTTCCAGCTCCATAGTGCAAGTTTTGGGGACAGATTTTTTAGCAGGTCCTGTTGCCATAGGACAAGGGATGATGGTTTTAAACTGAAAGAGGGTAGATTCAGACTAGATCTAAGGAAGAAATTTTTTACAGTGGGGGTGGGGAGGCCCTGGCACAGGTTGCCCAGAGAAGCTTGGGCTGCCCCATCCCTGGAAGTGTCCAAGGCCACGGTGATCAGGGCTTTGAAAAACCTGGAAGGCTGATGTTTCTCTGAGCTATTACTGCAGGTTGTCTCCAAAATCGGGGTTATGTTGCTCAAAAACATTCCTTGGGGACCCTGTTGCAATCTTGCGCTTTCTGCAGGGAGACTCAGCACTGGCACAATCCTGGGCTGGCCCAGCCGGTGAGGCTGCGATGTGGCAGGTCTGTAGTTGGAGTGAGTGGTACCAAAACACACTTAATTAACAGTAGAGCCTTCGTATACCTAAGTAATGCTGCAGAAAGGGCCTGTTAAATGCATTTGTGTTGATCTAGGGCAAGTACATATACTTAAAACACTCATAACTTCTGGATGAACTGTCATCCCTCGCTCCGTACAGCCCAGTGACTTTTCCTTGTGAGTGAAAGCAGAGTCAGAATTTAATTAGGATGTAATTTAATACCACTGGCTTCTCCGTCTTTCCAGTGGGAGCTGTTCTCTGGCTGGCAATGGCTGGACAGGGACAAACCTGCCCTGGGTGACACCAGTCTTGCCTCAGCATCTCTTGGGTTGACCTTGCACCCCAAAGCAGCAATACAATTTTGCAGTCAATTTCATAGGATGGTTTAGAACACCTTCACCTCCACTCAGGAGCTGAGCTTTCTCTATATATTTGCTTGTTTGGTTTTTGCTTTAATTTAATGCACCTCTTGCTGCTGAGCACGCCAGGGGAGGATTTGCAATATGCTACAGTGTGAGAGAAGCAGCGATGGGAAAAATGATCCATCAGCACCCAAACTTTGTTTAATTGCCCAGTGAGCTTAGGAAAACCCCTCAGAAAGGGTCAGAAGTGCCAGCCAGCAGGCCCAGGCTGCATCCCAAGGGCTCACTTTATGCAGTGTTTAGGGATAGTGTAGGTCCAGGTCTGAAGGGAGATGCTGCAGCCCCAGCACTGCCGAGCATATCAGTTTGTGTGCCGTGCTGACACCTTGGCTGGATTTCTCACCTCCCATTTCCAAAGAAAGAGAGCCTGGGTGGCCTGCAGTCATTTTTCTCCTTGCTGGGCCTTTCCTTGAGTTGGTAACGTCACATCTCAAGGACTCAAAATGTTTCTTCCGAAGTCTTGCTTGTGGGCTGGTGTCTGTCTCGCTAACGAAACCTTCACACTGCACCACCACCCCCGTGCCACTGGCTCTCCTGGGTTTCTTGGCTGAAAGAGGTTAGCACAAGGTGGGAACATTCCCATAAAATTACCTGGTGCTGCAGCATTTGCAGGCTGGAGGCCTCTAGGGCTTAAATTGTGGATGCATTTTCTGTCTTCATGCAAGAAAGTCAATAGAAAAAAACAGTGAATTGCTTCATTTTGGGTATTCATAAGTGTTTCTCTTCAATATATTTCAAACTTAGAAATATATTTAACTTCCCCAAAGTCAACACACAGACCAAGCCTGCCCCAAATCTCAGATGCAAGCTCTGCAAGCCATGCAAAACCCAGCAGCCATGCTGGGACTGTCCTTTCTTCCCCCTCTCCCCTGGCACTGCCATGGCCCCAGCACAGCTGATCACCTTCCACTGGCAACATCCCATTCAAGAGGATTTTTACACATCACAAAATGCCAGGTGTGAACTGTCAGAACAGGTGCCATGTGCTTTATGTTAATAAACACCCACAGGCTCCCCCTCCAATTTTTTATGGGATTACACCTATAGAAGCAGCTTTTGCTTTGCAAATATACTTTGTGTTGCAGCGAAAGCATTGGTTCAATAAGGCACTTAAGCATACACTTTATCTTAAGCATGTTGGAGATTACATCCCTCTTTAGCAAAGCATTTAAGTATGTGCTTAATTTAAGGATTTAATTAAGGATTTTAATTGTAGACTTCAGTATTTGCTTACCTGCTTGGCTGAATATGGGTGAGATTACTACATGCTGAAGATTTCTACATAAAGTAAGTGACTAATTCTGTCTGAATGAAGATGTTACATTGTTCTCACACAAGGCAGTTAAAATATAAATAGGAAAAAGGCAAGTGGCAGTTAACTCCATTCTTGCAGCTGAAAGTAGCATCCACGACCAAATCTGAGTTGATTAAAATCTAATATTATTAGTTACAACCTCTAAAGTGGCATTACAGATCAACAGAAAGCAGCACCTTAAAAATGAGTCTCCAGCTCATAAGCTTTAATTATGAGAAGGGAAGGATTAAGTCACCCTCTCCCTCTCATCGGTGACAGCAACCTTGAAATGGAAATGGCCACCAACTAATGGGCTGCGGTGTCATTTCCCCAACCATTACAGGGTTTAGGCTGATTTCCTAAGGAAAGAGAATTTCTGCAATTGCATTGCCAGGCTGTCTTTTGGACCATTTCCATAGCTTTTGAACTCTGTGACAAATTTAATCTAATTGAGAAAAATAAAAGGATTCCAAAGATATCAAGCTCCAACAAGTTGAATGCAAAACAAGTAACTGATTTTCTTTTTCTCCAGTAGCATTCGCTGTCACTGGAGAGCTTTCTCCATCCCAGGACTGGGACAGTGTTCTGGTTTTGGCTGGGATGGAGTTCATTTTCTTGAGTTCATTCTTGACAGTGCAGGGCTGCGTTTTGGACTTGTGCTGAAAAGTGTTTTTGCTATTTCTGAGCAGCATCAAGGCCTTTCCTGCTGCTCCTACCAGTGAGGAGGCTGGGGGTGCACAAGGAGCTGGGAGGAGACAAAGCCAGCACAGCTGACTCCAACTGACCCAAGGGATACCTCAGACCATGTGGCATCATGCTCAGCATAAAGGTGTGGGAAGAGAAGGAAGCGGGGATTGAAACTTGGCTCCTGCATTTCTTGCTCCACAGCTGTCTCTGAAGCTCACAAGCTGCCACACGCTCAGAAGACATCCATGTCTGCAATCTTACCAGAATGATTGGTTAGGGTGTTTAGTTTATTGCATGCCTGGAAAGTGTGTAGGATTTGTGAGGCCACACCTCGAGTCCTGTGTCCAGTTCATTCACCCTCAATTCAAGAAGGACATTGAGGGGCTGGAGTGTGTCCAGAGAAGGGCAAAGGCGCTAGGGAAGGGTCTGGAGAGTCAGTCACATGAGGAATGGCTGAGGGAGCTGGGAGGGCTTAACCTGGAGAAAAGGAGGGTCAGGGGGGACATTATTGCTCTCTGCCACTCCCTGGAAGGAGGTTGTAGCAATGTGGGGGTCAGGCTCTTCTCCCAGGCAACCAGTGACAGGACATGAGGACAGAGCCTCCAGCTGTGCAGGGGAAGGTTCAGGTTGGGCATCAGGAAGAATTTCTTCACTGCAAGAGTGGTCAGACATTGGCAGGGGCTGCCCAGGGAGGTGGTGGAGTCCCCATCCCTGGAGGTATCCAAGGAAGGACTGGACGTGGCACTCAGTGCTCTGGGCAGGGTGACAAGGTGGGGATCAGGCACAGGTTGGACTCAATGGTCTTGGAGGTCTTTTCCAACCTTAATGACTTTGTGATTTCAACACTCAGCAGTGATACCCCTCAGAAGCCCAGCAGTCCCTGTGCTTTACTGCTAAAAGCAGCCAAAC